GCCGCGCCCCGGCTCTCGGCGGCCGCGCGGCTCGGGCTGCGGCGGCGCTGTCGGGAAGGTCCGGGCGAGCGCCCGGGCTGAACGGCCGCTCTCTCCTCACAGACCTACGTGCCCACCGTGTTCGAGAATTACACGGCCTGTCTGGAGACGGAGGAGCAGAGAGTGGAGCTCAGCCTCTGGGACACCTCGGGTAAGGCCGCCTCCACAGGTGCACTGCAGCTGTGCGCTTGGATTGTCCCCCTCGGCGGGGAGGAGGGGCGCCTGCGGGAAGGGCCCTGCAAGTCCTGTTTGGGGGCTGTCAGCTCAGTCGTCAGGTCCAGGGGCGCAGCCACTGGCTTTTCCAGGTTAAGTTCCATCTTTCAGAGGCTGCGAAGGTGGTGGTGGTGGGAGGGGGTGAAGTCGAGGCCCCTGAATCCGCCTGGGGCGGGGGTCCGGGCTGGTCCCTTGCCTCTCCCAGCTACCAGCAACACACACTTACTTACATTCACACTCAGAGTCGTGCCTTCCCCAGAACAAAGTTAAATAAGGCCAGAGGCAGTGTCCCTGGAGGCAGCCTGCTTGGCGGAATGTCACAGGGACCCAGGCATCCCACTTGCGTAGCATCTCCGGCCACTGCTGTGGCCCGCAGCATCCCGCTCCGCTGTCACACTGCTGCGGCTCTCGGATAAAGCGATGCATCGCCAACGCTTTGGAGGGAGGGGGAGATGGCTTCACGTAGGGCACGGTCCTGTTGTGCCGGGACTTGCCGGCAAAGGGCCAGGCCCTGATCAGTTCTCTGTACAGCGCCAGAGTGAGGTACAAGATACCCTCTGTCTTCGAAATGTAGAAATGTAGAAAGCAGTATTTTCCAACGCTTTCAGCCCCAAGCCCTTGATGCTGGGCGGTCTTTGCTTTGGTTCTGAGACATTTTGACCATCTCTTTGCCTCAGGTCCTTTTTTAATAGATAGGCTCAGAGTCATAATTAAGGAGCAAAATCTAGCAGTGAAAAAAGGATAAAACATACTTCTTGCCAAAAAAAAAAAAAAAAAAAAAAAAAGCATAATCAGTTTGAGTTCAAAGAGGAGCTATAAATCACCAGGGGTTTCCTGTTACATGGAATAAATGTGCCGCCCAGTTCCTCCAAAGAGCTGTTGTTCCCGTGCTCCAGTTTTGAGGTCTGCAAAGACTGGGGGTAAGGGACAGGGAGATTAAAAAATGAGATTTCTTCTTGGGCCTCGCCAAGCTCAATTCCTCCAGCTGGTGTGCTCTCCTGCGTTGCAGTTCCAGGGGTGGGGAGGCAGGTTCGCGCCTGTGCTATGCTGGCTGGACCAGCTGGGGATGCAGCGTGGCTGCCGCGCTGCGCGGCCCCGCCGCCGCTTCTGCTGCGCCCTCCCAGCCCCCTCTTCTAGAGCCTTACCGCAGTTCTTCTCCTTTCACTGTCACCACCCCCAACCTCCTGCTGCTGCCCTCCTCCCAGAGTCAGAATGCAGCCCCTGAAGCCCTAAGCCAGATCCTGGAAAATCAGCAAGTGTGGTCGCCATACCTAGGGTTGCGCCCCACCCCCTCATCTCAGAAAGGATAAAGGCGACCGGTTATCCTTGCGTTCCCTGTTTGCAATTAGATTCCCAAAAGGAAGTGCAGTAATGTGTGGGATGGGGCTTTCCTCTGCTGGGGCCAGGGGTGAAACTGTTCCCATTATTTACTTGCTGCTCTTAGGGGAGGGGGATTGATTGGACCCAAAATGGAGAGCTCTTCCCCTCCCCCTTCCCAGTACTGCAGTGCTCCCTTTGCTCCGGGCTGCGGTGGTCAGACTCCCACCCCAGAAAGGGGCAGGGACTGATTGCTGAAGAATCAGGCAGTGATCCCATCTCCCCCCTACTACTTTTTCTTTCTTATAACTGACACCCCCCCAGCTTGGATTCCCTCCAGTTTCCATGGCGATTGCAGTGGAGGGAGAGGGGCTGCTTGCTATTCTGAGCACGGATTGTCTGGGTTCCAAATCCGCTACTGTTCTTTCCCCAAGGTGGGGGACAGGCTCAGGTCCTGGCTCTCACCCCCTCAAGCCCCTGAGTCCACATTGTCCACTTCTGTTCCAGTGAAGGACCCTTGCTTGAGCTTTAAGTCCCCAGCCATCGTCCTTGCTGTCGTCGATTTTGGCTCCCTGAGATCTTAGGGGTAGGGGTCACAGCTTTTCTTATTCCATTTTACTACAAGCTGACCTGGGGGTTGGAGGGACACTGGTTTCCTGATGCTGCCCTTCGCCTGCCTGCCTCCTAGAGTTCTGACCCATGGTAAAAGGCAGATGGACAGTTATGTAACAGGCAGCTCCTTTCCTCACCTGGGAGACCCCAGAGCAGATGGGAGCAGCGGTTGGGCAGCAGGCAGACTTCCAAGAAGAGTCCCTAAACAAGCCTTGGTCTCCACAGGGGTGGGAGTGTTTTCATTGACTTGGAAAGTGAATAGGCTTTAAATTAAGACTGGTAGAAGCCCCAGACAGGGCTTTCTCTTAGTTGGCCCTTTTGTTTTTCCAGCACTAAGGGGCATGGTGTTTGCACAGCTGCCTGGCAGTAGCCCCAAGCTTCCAGGCCAAAGGCCTCCTCTGGGAGATGGGTGGATGCCCAGGGCTCCCAAGGCTCACCCCAGCTGTCTCCGTGCCTCTAGGCTCTCCCTACTATGACAATGTCCGTCCGCTCTGCTACAGTGACTCAGATGCAGTGTTGTTATGTTTTGACATCAGCCGTCCGGAGACAGTGGACAGTGCTCTCAAAAAGGTAAGACTGCCTACGTCTTACAGTTGCTAACCTGCCAGGAGGACAGAAGCGAATCTCGAGGACCTTGTCATTTAATTCTCTTGTGTGCCAGGCATGATTGGCAGTCATGGCGGTGCATGCCTGTAATCCCAGCCCCCGGGCAGGTGAGGCAGGAGGGTTGCTAGGAAGTCGGAGTCTGGCCTTGGCAATTCAGCAGCACTAGTGAGACCCTGTCTTACGGGGAGTTGCTGAGATACAGCTCTATGTGAGGAAGGACTTGAAGCCAAACACAGGAGGGTTTCCCCAGGCCACACAGTTAGCTGCAGTGCTGAGCCTCGGTAGCCTTACTCTTCTGCACTTGCCACGTCCTCTGCTGCTGCTGCTGCTTTTGTTTTGTACTGGGAATTGAACTCAGGACCTTGAGCTTGCCAGGCAGGCTCTTGTGCCTCTGAGCTATCTTTCTGACCCCTACACTGCTTGTTTCGAGCCCCAGCAAAGAAGGGTGGCACTGGAGACATACTAAATAGAGGATCATGAAGCAGAGGGCCTTCTCGTGCTGTGGTTTGAGGGCCAGGGTGGGACCTTGTGAGGCCACCTCTGCAGACGGTCATCCCAGAAGTGAGGCTGGCAGAGTCTGCCCTCCTGTGGGAATGTCTGGTCCTGGGCCGGAAGGTCTCCCAGAAGCCTGTGGACTTAGCTGGCTTCCCAGAAGGCTGCAACTTGCGCTCTTCCCTCGGGAGAGTTTGGAGCCTTCCTCTTGCTGTTCTTGACTTGTGAGGCTCTGTGACTGGCTGAGGGGACAGGTTGCAGACCAGTGGGCAGGATGGTGGGGTCAGTCTGGGGGGTGCTGGGACCCAGGAGAGCCGGACAGGCGATGGCCCAGGTGGCGTGTGTGACTTTGCCAGCTGGACTGTGTCGTCTGCCTGCTGCTGACTGCCTCCTACCACATTAACCTCCCTCTTCCTGCTCGGCCTGCAGTGGAGGACAGAAATCCTAGATTATTGTCCCAGCACCCGAGTTTTGCTTATTGGCTGCAAGACAGACCTTCGAACAGACCTGAGCACACTGATGGAGCTGTCCCACCAGAAGCAGGCGCCTATCTCCTACGAGCAGGTGTGTGAATGTGCATGTTTGTGTGGCGCACGCAGGGGACAGTGTTGGAAGGTTGCAGACAGAGGCCTTGGAATCCGGGCTCCGTCACACTCCTGCCTCGGCCAGTGGGAACCGATGTGAGGTGTTTATCTGTAGCTGATGAGCCGGTCACCATGACAGGGGTGCTGGGCACCCACAGGGTTGGCAGGTCAGCTGTTCCTGTTCGTTAGCATTTTGATTTTCTGTTGGCCACTTACACTGGGCTCATTGGAGGTGCTTGACAGAATTTCAGATTCGTGGCCCCATACCTACAAAATCACTCTGGGACAAAGACAGAAATTTGCATATTTGCATATACAAAGACCCAGGAATAATCTCTAATGTACACAGGAGTGTAATGATTAGTTCTACACCACGGTTTCTCATGACAGTCCTTGGAGGGGCTCTTACAAATAGCAGTACTGGGACTGTGGTGCAACTCAGAGATGGAACCCAAGCCTCATCAATTTGAATTCCAGCACTGAGCAAACCCCTAATGTCGCCACCCTAGTCCCAGAATTTTGACTTTCTTGGTCCAGCATCAGTGTTTTTTTTCCGGAACAGGGGATTGAACTCAGGTCCTTGCACTTGCCAGGGAAGCGCTTACTCCAGTGAGCCATCTCCCTGGCCCCAAATGGAGATTTATTTTATTTTATTTTTTTTGGCTGAACCGGGGATTGAACTCAGGCCTTTGAGCTTCCAGGCAAGTGCTTATTCTACTGAGCCATCTCCCTGGCCTATCAGTGTGGTTTAAAAGCATTTCAGGTGATTCAAATGTGTAGTCAGGCTTCACCTTCACAAAACTAATTGGAAGAGGCTGGTGGGGATCCTGCCTGGAGCAGCGCACGGCAGGGCACAGTGTCCTTCAGCCCCAGGGACCTCTGCATTTATGACTGCACCTCCTCCCACAGGGCTGTGCTGTGGCCAAGCAGCTGGGTGCAGAGATTTACCTGGAGGGCTCGGCCTTCACGTCCGAGAAGAGCATTCACAGCGTCTTCCGGACGGCGTCCACGCTGTGTCTGAATAGGCCCAGCCCGCTGCCCCCCAAGAGCCCTGTCCGAAGCCTCTCCAAGCGACTGCTGCATCTGCCCAGCCGTTCCGAACTCATCTCTTCTACCTTCAAGAAGGAAAAAGCCAAAAGCTGTTCTATTATGTGAAGTGGGAGTTGGAGGGGGAGATGCCCCCCACCTCCTCCCTTGGGGTGCAGAGGCACGGGGAGAGGGAGGATGAGACAATTTAAGACACTGGACACAAGTTTTTCCAATGGCCGTGGTGAGGCTTGGAAGGAGACAGGAATGGGATGAGGAAGGGGCCAGGCCCAGTGTAAGGACCTGACGCTGCGTGAGAACCATCACACCCAAGCCCAGTGCTAGGCTGAGGAGGGGCAGCTGTCCCAGTGCCCCTGATTCCAGAGGAGGGAAAGGTCAGGGGCTCCGGGGGCCATGCTGGCCTCGTGGGCTCGGGGGCTTACCGGAGCCTCGCCTTCAGCATCATGCCTCTTCCACACTGCGCTTCCATGCAGGCCGGGCGGGAGGGCCCAGAGCTCCAGGGCGCAGCCCTTCCCGTCCGCGGAGCCACTCGAGGAACGGAGTGAGGAGGCCTAGAGGCAGCTCCCTTGAGCGCAGCCCAGGTGCTTCACCGCGGAGGCCAGCGCATGGGCTGCGCAGAGCCAAGCAGAGGGATGCTCATCTTGCACAGCCCATCATCAGGAGAGGGGACATCGCACATCCACACGCTTCTCACCTGAGTCCCCAGCGTCCGTCCGTCCGAGGGAGAAGCCCAGACCCCCTTCTTTTGCAGAGTGTGGGGTGGTGGTGCTGCAGGGGCGGGGCTGGGAGGGGGAACCAGACTGGGCCTGCCCTTAGGGCAGCGCAGCTGGCATTTGTTTTATAGAGCCTTGTCTTTGGGATTGTGGGAGGGGGGATGTTTCAGTCTGTTACATGTTCTGTGTTTAAAGAAGAAAACCTATTTATTAACGAAAAATATACATACAAAGAAGTTGGCTCCCTTTCTTCTTTCTTTGTATTTCTGGCTATTTGGTGCTGAGGCAGGGTCTCTTCCTGTAGCCCAGGCTGCCCTGGAACTCAGCAGTCCTGCCTCAGCCTCCAAGTGTTGGCACTACACGCAAACACCGCTACACCTAGCTTCTTGGCTGCTGACAATCAGGGAAAAGCTGTGGGGCCCTCTCTGTGGCAGAGTGGGGCCCCCCCACTGTCCCCCAGTCCCTCCGACAGGTGGCTCCCCGCTTTCCCACCCACCCAAATCCTGTTGAGGCAAACACTAGTCCCTAGCCTGAGAGCAGGACTTCTTGGCCTTGGAGTGGTGTCTGGAGTGGGGAATGCTCTTTGGAGGGCATTGTGCTATGCAGTATGGAATGTTTAGCAACTCCGGCAGGTGCTAGATGACAGTGGCCTCAGTTGTCACAACCAGTTGTCATTGCCCTCGAGGCTAAAGGAGAGGGATCATCCGTGGGGGAGAACTGGGCTGCTGAGTCCCGGGGGAAGCCCCTGGTGGTATCCTTTAAATTCAAGAGGTGACTTCCAGCTCCAGAGCCTATCCATGGCAGTGTAAGGGCCCCAACTTCCCTTATGCTTTGTTATTCACAGATGCTGTTTTTCCAGTTTCATGCTGCAGTGCTGGAAATGAAGTAACTGTGTCCTCAGCACTGTGGTCGGGGCATAAGTGATAAGAGCTTCCTTTGCTTTGTTTTTGTTTTTTGGCAGAACCAGGCGCTAGATGACAGTGGCCTCAGTTGAACTCAGGCCCTTGTGCTTGCCAGGCGAGTGCTTATTCTACTGAGCCATCTCCCTGGCCCTGAGGGCTTTGTTACATGTTTGGTATGTGTGTTGGGCACTTAGTTATTACAGTAGTACCGTATTGCTATTATCTTCATTCTACTGATAACTCAAAAGATTAATTCTGCCTTCAAGTCCACCTATGTCATCTTTTCCTGTAATAACCCTTTGAGGCACCTTTTTTTTTTTTTTTTTTTTTTTACAGAAATTGAGGTTCAGGGGCCGGGGAGATGGCTCAGTGGAATAAGTGCTTCCCTGGCAAACGCAAGGGCCTGAGTTCAATCCCTGGTTCCACCAAAAAAAAAAAAAAAAAAAATTGAGGTTCAGAGAGATTAATGTGTACAAGGCCACACAGTTAGAAAGTGGCAGAATATATATATATAAATCAGGCAGTTTAGCTGCAGAACATAGACTTTTTTTTTTTTTTTTTTTTTGAGATGGGGTCATGACCTACTGCTCAGGATGGCCTTGAACTTGGATCCATGCTCAGATCTTCTGAGTAGGCCGCTGGGATTACAGTTGCACCACTGTGCCTGACCACAGCATGCGTTCTTTTTTGCTTATGAGACTGAGTGCTGGCCTCAAACTCATTATGTAGCCTAGCCTGGCCTGGAACCTACGGGAATCCTTCTGCCTCAGTCTCCCAAGGGCAGGCAGTGTGCCACCATGGCCCAGTAGCAGTGCACTCTTTAATAGTTCTGCCATCCTATTCTGGTAGGCAAGGGGAGTTATTGTGTTTTATAACCGAGGAGAGAGAAAAGCCAGGGATGCCATATCGTGCACAAGATCCCTGACCGAGTCTCAGGGCTAACAAGCCCATGGACCCTCCCTGCTAGCTTGGGTACCTGGGTGAGAACTACCTGCTGTCCTCACTAAACTACAGGCCTGTCTCCATCTCCAGGCGTGTCTGCTTGGAAGAGAACTAGCAGAGTAGGTTGGAAACTGCATATTCTTTGCACTCAGTATCTCACATGTGTCACCAGACTGCCATTTATGAACTCGGAGAAATTCTGTCATCTTTCTGAGCCTCTTGTTACTCTTTAGAGACAGGAGGCCTCCGAGCCTGGAAATAGGGAAGAACGTGGACTCTGAAGTAAAATGGACCTGCATCTAATTCTGCCTCCCTCCTTGCGGTACTACAGACCAAATCCAGGGCCTTTATGCTGAGCTATGCCCAAATTTTTTTATTTTTTTGGTGTAACCAGGGATTGAACTCAGGCCTTTGTGCTTGCCAGGCAAACGCTTATTCTACTGAGCCATCTGGCCACTGAAACCAGGTGTGGTGGCACATGTCTGTACTCCCAGTCCTGGGGAGGCTGAGACAGGAGGGTTACTATCAGTCCAAGCTGCATAGTGAGACCCTGCACCAAATAAAAGATTTTTTTTAAAAAAAGGCGTACACCATCATGCCTCACCCTTGTTTTTAAATATGAGGACTTGAAGGTATAATTAATCTTTTTCTGAGTTGTTAATAAAGTGGAGACCAATACCATAGTACTATTATAAGTTAAATAATTATTGTAAATGAACTGTGCAGAGCAGAGTTGGGTGATTAGAAGATTCTCAACACGCTGGTAGCTGTGGCTCTTAACCGAGTGCCCTGTATCCTCGATGCCTGGTTGGAGTGCCAGTCCGTGAGCGGAGCGCCCTCTCGTGTTCACTCCGTGAATTACACCAAACAAGTGAGACCTCCTTTCGCCTTTGGCAGTCTGCTGCTAAAAGTGGGGGAGTCCAAGGCCGGCGGTCCGAGAGCACACGTGTGAATCTGTTATTACTTTGGCCCACTGTGTGTGATGCTCAGAGTTTTAGGGTTAGAGTTTATCCTGAGGCCCCGCTTGAGAACTGAAATCATATTTAGAGAGGAAAATCGGATCTGGAGCCAAGTGGAATTGAAACATAACAAGCTCAAGAAGGGAAAATGGGAAGGAAAGAGGTGCTAGTACTTTGGTTACCTCAGCCACCCTAGCGGTTGCAGAGTGTGTGAGCGCAAAAGAACAAAGAGAAACAAAGTAAGCATATGATTCTGGGTGATCAAGCTCAGCGGGAAACCAAAGCAGGGGGAACTAGATGAAAAAGAAAGAGATAGTCTAAAAAGTGGGCAGATCCTTGGGACCAAAAAATAAGGACACCAGGCATAGTTGTGGATTCCGATAATCCCACCTACTTAGGAGGCTGGGGCAGAAGGATCACAAGGGCCTGGGAATGTGCTCAGTGGTGGAGTATTTGTCAAACTTGCATAGGGCCCTGAGTTCAATCATCAGTACCAATAAATAAATAAATAAATAAATAAATAACCAACCAACCAAATAAATAGATTGTAAAATAAACCAGGGTTGGTGGTTCAGGCCTATAGTCCCAGCAGTCTCAGGCAGGAGGATTGCTGTGAACTCAAAGCCAGCCTGGGCTACAGTGAATACTGCCTCAGAAAACCAAAAGCCAACCGAACAAAAACTTTATTTTGTTTTACTTACTTATCTGAAACAGGGTCTCACTAGGTAGCCCAGGCTGGCCTTGGACAGAGCGGCGGCCCTCCTTTTCAGCCTCCCCAGTGCTGAAGCTAGGTGTGCCACGCACTGCTACAGAAACTTTAAACAGCTACAATATTTCAAAGGAAGAAGGAGGAGATGGAAGAGGAAGCCAGAGTGTAGTTTCTCAACTCCGGAGTGTTGAGAAACAAGTGCTGGGCAGGAGGTACGACCCTCCCGGGAGGGTTTGGCCACCGCTGTTGTGGTTTTCGTTTGTTTCTTTATTGACAGTGTCTAGGTCAGCTGTCCACACTGGCCTTGAACTCGAAGTCCCCTTGCCTCAGTCTTGCCAGGTATTGGGATTATAGGCATTTGCCATCATGCCCAGTTATGTGGGCTCATTTTGAGTTGTCACCATGAGCCCCAGGGTACTAAAAAGTTCCCCTAAGCCTAGGGTACTTCCTCGCAATGAAGAATCGTGCCACCCTGTGAAATTCTAGGCTGGTCCTGTAACTTTTTAGTTTGTGCAGTTGTAAAATAGGGCTAATCTCTCGCACAGAGTTTTTGTAAAAATGTTTTTCTATTAACGGTAATTTATTTGTTAATACTGTAGTTGATTTATAAATATATTTTGGTGGTACCGGGGATTGAACTCACACTCTTGAACTTGCCAGGCAAGTGCTTATTCTACTGAGCTATCTCCCCAGTCCCTATTAGGGACTGCCCCCTTCTTCAGTACTAGCGATTGAACGTAACGCCTCCGCACTCAGCTATATCCCCGGCCCTTTTTATTATTTTGAGATAAGGTTTGGCCAGACTGCACAAACTGGCCTGGATCGTCCTGCCTGTGCCTCCCACAGCACTGCATTACGGGCTGTGCGAGAGTGTCCCTAAATTCCCACCCTATCCGAAATTCCTCCACTCTACGCCGCCCGCCCCACAGCTAGGAACTGAGTTCTAGGTAGACCAGCGGCCTGGAGTCTGGGAAGCTGGCGCGCAGAAAACTTTCCTCCCGCAGAAGCCAACATTCGCGAACCACACTGCCCAGCAGGCCCCGCGCCCGGCCGGCGCTCGCGCTGTGCATTCTGGGATTCGTAGTTCCCGGCCTCGCCGTCGGCGGGCGCGGCGCCGCCCGGGGCACTCGCCTTCCCAGCCTGCCCCTCTGCCGGGGTGCACCTCGGGGACCAGGAAACGGGAAAGATGGCGACTGCTCGGTAACGTTGAGGCCGCGTTAGGCGGTTCGGACCCAGGGTGGTGAGTTCCAGGCGGCGGGGGCGGTTCCCATGAGTTTACAGAGAGGGCGGTAGTAGGGCCATGGCTGTGGCCCCTGCCCGGGGACGAGGCGGGGAAGAGTGCCTTAGGGGAGGGGCCGAGTCTGGGAAGCTTTGGCGGGCGACAGCGAAGAGGCGCGGGCCCAGGGATGGAGGGGCCGGCGGGCGCCCAGGCCACGTCCTGGGCTGTCTGGGGGCCTGGCCCTTTGCTGTAGGCTCAGTGCCTGTGCTGTGGCCGGCCGACCTACTTTGGTTGTGGATAGCCGCACTCCCAGAGGCAGTCCGGGCTTTCCCGCCTCGGGGCCGCCTGTATTCTTTCTTTCCGAGGGGTTTACCTTTTATCCGCATCCTCAATTCTGCGCCTTCAGAGCCCACCCGTGCTGAAGGCTCCAGACCGCTTCCTCTGTGGCGCCTTCCAGATCCCCCTTAACAAGTGGAACTGCATCCCTGAGCTCTGCTGGTGCTTCATCTCGGCGTTCTTCTTGGTGCAGGTCTCGGATGCTCTCTGTTCTGACAGCTCCCTGTGAGCAAGATTTCCTTCGTAGCGCACAACATTGATCCTTGCATGCAGAGATACTTGATGAGTATCTTGCTGAAGGAAAAGCACCTGCCCGGTAGGAACAGAGGAGAGACTGCAAGGTAGGAGGCCTGAGGAGCCAGTCTGGGTGGCCAAAGTTGTCTGCACTAAAGGTGCCTGAATTTGCTGTCTTTGTTCTTCTCATTTTCAGCCAGACTAACACCACCCAGGCTTCTTTTCTGCTGCCTTCACAGCACTAAAGCAGCTCTTTTTAAGGCCACCCTAGTCCTCATTTCCCCAAGTGTAATGGTTCTTTTTTGTTGTTGTTGTTACTGGGAATTAAACTTGGGACCTAGCACTTGCCAGGCAGGCACCTGTGCTGCGGAGCTAGATCCACATCCCCTAATGGCTCTTCTTTGCACCATCTTTATCCACTTGGATGGTACCTGATACAGTTGACCACTCCTCCTTGCAACATGTTTTTGGTTTCTCTGTTGCTATATTGTACTTTTTTATTTTTTTTTAAATTTTATTTATTTGTGTGTGTGTGTGTGTGTGTGTGTGTGTGTGGCCAGCTCAGCCCACCAGGGTGCGGGGCTGGCTGGCATGTGGTGCTGGGGGATCGAACCGCGGTCCCTGTGCTTTGCTAAGCTTGTTCCAAGTAAGCGCTTTAGACCACTGAGCCATCTCACCAGCCCTATATTGTACTTTTTTAAAAGTTCTTTTCTCACTGCTGATGACTTCTTTTCCGGTCTTTCTCTGGCTTCCCTTGTGTTGACCTCCTTATGTTAGTGGGCCTTTGTGTGTGTGTGTGGGGGGGTCGTCTTCTATATTCTTCCTTAGCTGCTGCTTATCCAGGTGGTGCCATTTAACACGCCCTGACTCAAGCACCTGCCTGTGCATTGGTGGCTCAGACTCTTGTCTCCAGACTCTCAGCTGCAGACTGTGTGTCCGTCTACTCTCTTGGAGTCTACACTTGCTTTTTTTTTATATCAGGGATTGAGCTCAGGACCTTCAGCTAGCAAGGCAGGAGCTTGAGCCGCTGAGCTGTGTCCCCGGCCCAGTTTTCTTCCTGATTTCTCACAGTCATCTCAGCCAAAATTGACATTTTATTTTCCTTCTAAATCTCTTTCTTTCCTAGTCTTCTGTGGTTAGTTCACTAGTGGTACCACAAGCTAATAGGTTGTTCAATAATTTTAGGGGACTATGCATCTCTTCTCTTTTGCCCTTCACCAGTAAATCTTGTCAGTTCTGCCTCCAAAATATCCCTGGAACTTCCCTTGTTTCCATCTCTGTTGCCACCTTCCACCTTGCTTCCTAGAACAAGCTTTGGTCATCCCTTGCCTTGATAATGGTTGTCCCTTGGTGTCCGAGGGAGAGGAGTTCCAGGACTCCCTGTGAATACCAAAATCCAGAGGTGCTCTTGTGCTTTATGTCCAGGGGCATAGTGTTTCATGTAGCCTGTGCTGTCCTCTGTGTGCTGTAAGTCATCTGTAGATTAGCAGAGAAAACGGTTTATGTGCTCAGAATACAATATAAGACTATCGTGTGACCTGTAGTTGGTTGAATATGCAAGTGCAAACACCATGGGTGGTGCGGAGAGCCAGCAGTACTGTAGGAGCATTCTTAGAGGTTTTATATGTAGAACTATGATGTTTTCATACAAGTCTCCAGACTAATTGTTAATAATATAAAATTGGATATCTTCACATCCTGTATAAAGTACTCCTGTTGCATTTGAGTTGAAATGCAAGTTTCTTTGCCCTAACCTGTAGCACATTTTTGTGATCTGACTCCTGCCTACCTCACTAAATTCACTCTGATCAGCCTCCCCTGGGGCAGTGCCAGGCAGCTGCATGTCTTCTTCTTTGGGAGGGTGTTGTGCGGGGGATATAACCAAGGGCCATATGCATACTGGGTAAGTGCTCTACCACTGAGCTACGTCTCCAGGCCTACAGGTAATTTCTTTTATTTTATTT